CTCAGAAGTCTTAGGGATGCTTCAATAAGAAGTGATTAAAAACAGACTAGACTCTTAAATTTGAGAGGCCCCATCCCCCCTCCTATTCACCCCCACCCGATCAGGTCCCCTCCCTTTCACCTCTTTTTTATGCAGTGCCCCACCCCCACTCCAGAGCTAAGTAGCAGATTTGGGATTCTGAAGAAATAGGTTTCAGCATCCATATTTGTTCTGGGGCACTTGTAAAATGCGATTTGTAGAGGGTCTTTAGCCTTCTGATTGTCTTTGAATTGTTTTTACTGAAACAGATCTTTTGCAGTTAATGAGTCCCCACGCAGCTGGACAGCTCCTCTCGGACACTGAGAACTCTAACCCCAAAATGACCCCAATTTGACACCGCAAGATGAAATTTTACCGCCTGTTAAAACCATTTCCAGCCTGGGCAAAAGGAGCTGACTGTTGACGGAGGTGTGTGCCGCCTCCTGCGACCCCCATCTCGTGCCCGTCTCCTGGGCCTGCCCCACCTACTTTTCCTTCACCCCAAATGTGGAAGAACAGAGGAGCCTCGCAGCCTGGATGGGGGTGCAGAGGCTGAGACTGGAGCATCAGTAATCAGGCTAGAAATCAGAAAGTGTGTGCACCTCCCTGCTTTGGAATCGCTACTGTTGGACTGGCAAAATTGGACGAGGTAGGGGAAGATCAGGAAGTTCTTAAATGTTGTTCAGCTTTGTTAATAAAACATCAGCAAGTTGGTGATTAAAAGTAATAGCTTTTTAATTCATCAGATTGGCCAAGACCCGACACCCTGAATCACCTCCAACTTGATCTTGTGTGTAATCTACTGCACTGCGATTCTATTTTACACTTATAGTTTCACAAATGACATGCAACTAGGTAAGTGAAATCTCTTTAGTCGCATGAAATTTAGGGTTCTCCCCTTAAGCAACTGGTGAATTTTTAAATGATGCAGATTTTCCTCCATTAGGGCTTCATTTTTAACACTCTCACACTTCTTACCTGAGGTCTTTGGAGTTAAAAATGATTGCGGGGTTTTGTTTTGTTTTTTTCCTTTGACTCTATCTTAAAATGTCCTATTTCTCTCTCCCTCCTACATCAACCAGACCATCCCTGTAGTCTGCTTTAATGTATCCAGTACAATGCAAAAGAAGTTACAGAATATTAGAAAGTAAGGAAGAAAGGAGTTCAGGTTAAAATGACTTCTGCATCGCCCGAATGATTAAAACACATGAAAACCGAGTTTAAGCTTTTTTTCTTTTGTAAAACCCAAGATTATTAAGGAATTATCAACCCATTATGAGTTTAACAACTGTTTGAAAAGAATACCAAAATCATCAATCGCCCTGCACTGTTTTTACTCGGATGCACTGCCACGTAAGAAATGTTTGTATTTCTTTTAGATGCTAGTGAAGTTTTTCTAGATAAAGGCTGTGGGGGATGCTAACTCACTTCACAGTTATCACTAGGGAGGAAAAAAAAAACGGTGGTAGAAGCAGCAGAAGGTAGCAACGGTGAATGTTTAAACTCTGCAATGTAGATGTTTGCTTCGAAGTTGATCTTTACAAAAGCAGCATTTATTAAGGAAACTGAGTTTCTTTTTTTAAAAGGAGAAGTAATTGGCACTCACTATACAGGCTATTTAAAACAACAATAACCCTATTGACAACAATACATACACAATATTGAAAATAGGAACAACTGAAAGAATAAAAACTAAAAATCACTATAAACTTCTCAGCTAGTGGCGCTGCACGGGGAACTCGGCTCCAGCAATTTCAAGATCTCTAGCAGACAACGCTCTGCAGGCGAGACCAGATTGTTATTTTTCTCTCATCCTTCCCGAAACCCCAGCTAAACTGAATTCACGTAACTGCCGCTTGAAATAAAATTCTGCAAGACAACTTTTTTCGTGTCCTCTTTCCTTTACTACTCACCGTTTCTTACATGTCGACGAACAACTCAGCAACAAATAAGGAGGATGCTTTTAATCTTGGAGTCCTTCTAGGGAAAAAAATATTGAGGAGGGGTCTGTATGGACCCTGCCCACAACCTGCAGGTTTCATACCCGTTGGCTCATACAGGCTTGAAGCCCAGCGTAAAAGTGCTGGAAATCTCGTCTAGACACTCGTCTCCGAAGCTCCAGGCGACCGGCGGTCCCTATATTCTGGTCAACGGGGCAAACACCTCGCAGTCCGCAGCCCCGCTCCCCGGCGTCGCACTAGCCTCGCCTGTGCCAGCCTCTCCGCACTATCTTTCTATGTGAGGGCCGATTTCCCGCAGACATCATTGTTATGATGGCTCATTTAATCAAACTGTTTAATTGCTCTGGTAATCACTATCATCATCACAGGTGCTCAATCATTCATTATTTTTGGAGAGCTTTATTGACCTCCGGAGCTCATTCCCCAGCCCTATTAAAACGGGGCCAAATTTTTCCGACTTAGCTTGGAGTCTCAGCAGGCTGATATCTAAGCTCAGTTGAGTGTTGCCTGAACGCTTACAGTGAGGCAGAGAAGATGGAAAGCCACCCACCCCCTCCCCAGGCTCATCTGAGCGCCTCTCTCTCTCTCTCTCTCTCTCTCTCTCTCTCTCTCACACACACACACACACACACACACACACACACACACACACACAACTTTATTTTCCCTGTGCTTCCTTTCCCCCGGGAAGTCGGGTCAAAGTAGCGCGCGCAGAATACCCTACTTTCTACTCTGCAGAATGAATTCAAAGTTGGAGAGGGAATCTGCTGTTGAGGAACAGTCTGTTTTCGATCCTCTGGGCCAGGGCCCGTGCACCCGGCCAGAGCCGGGAGCTGGGGAGAAGGTGCGCCGGGAGCTCGCCGCGCCGGACCGCGGGGCGGGCTGGAGCCGGGGGGCGGAGGGGGCAGCAGCTCCGCGCGCGCCCGGTGACCGTGGCTCCGCCCCCAGCTCCAGGCTCCGAGTGATTGACGCAAGGCCACCGGGAAACCCTCGGCGTCGAGGTGAGGCTGGGTGCAGCTCCAGCAGGGATTGGGGGAGACGCCGGCCAGAACTACTTTCTTCACAACCCATGTGGGATATTCACCTTCCTCCTCCCTCACTCTCCTCCTTTTCCTTTTTGGAAAAGTTCCTTCGGAGTCTTCCCCAAGCAGCTGAATTGCCCAGTACAATTAACACAACCATTAGCTGGAGTTACGGCGCTCCGGCCCCTGCACCCCGGGCGACCACAACAAAGCTGGGCAGGGAATACCGGTCAATTCTCCTCCTTGCAAGGCGTCCTATCCCTCTCCCTCCCTCCCTCTCCCGTGCTTCTTAGCTCTAAGTGAGCTCCACTTCGGAGGCGCACAGTAGTGGCGCGCGCGCGCGCACACACACACACACACACACACACACACACACTCCTCCTGGCGACTGCAGACGACATCAAACATCCAAACGACTCCTCCCCACTTCCTCCCTCCCAATTCCACCGCGGCCCCCAGAGAGTCTCCAGGGGTGGCCCTCGTCCACACCGCTGGGAGAGAGCGCTCTCTGATGTAAGCTTAGCTCTTCTCGTCCTGGAAAAAAATAAATGTTGACAACAAGGGTGCTGGATGTGCACAGGGAAGAAAGTACCACTAAAAAAAAAAAAGAAAGAAAGAAAGAAAGAAAAAAGAAAAAGAAAGAAACCACCAAAACCAAAAAAAACTCTAGCTCCGGAGTGATACGGTGTGCGGGGCTTGCTGCCCCTGGATGTTAGCAGAAAGCCTTCAGGGACGCCGTAATCGCCTGGCAGAGGAGTGGGGGCCCGCGAAATTAAAAGGAACAAAAGCAAGAGCGCCATGCCAAACGTCCCCGACGCAACCCCATGAGGCTTGAGCCCGGTGTAATGGGAAAATGCACTAGAAGGAAGTTTGAAAAAAATATATATGTTAGGTCTGAGGCGGTACCGTACTTTCCCTGTGGTTTTCTGCAGTTTTCCTCTCTGCGCTCTCCCTGGCCTCTTCATTCTCTCCCTCTTTCCTGGCGCGCGCGCGCGTGCGCTCCCGTTCACGCGCGCGCGCGCGCACACACACACACGCGCGCGCGCGCTCCTCTTCCTCCGGCTCCCCCCGCCCCCCCCCGCCGCCCCCCTCCCCGGCCGTCCCCGCGGAGGAGCAGGCTCGCTGATTTGCTCGGGTCCTCCGGGCTCCTGCCTCCCCTCCCCCGCCCCCCCGGCCGGGGCCGTCCGAGCGCACTCGCTGCATATCAGAGGCTCGGCGCGGCGCGCTCCTCCTCGCTCCCGCTCCCCACTCCCGGGATGTGTCTCCGCCGCACGACGGGCTATGGCCACCACGACTTCCGGGTTCCGTCATTTCGTTCTCCCGCCGCCGACCCGCGCCGCCAAACTGAGGCTCTCCTATAAGCCAGGCAGCAGCCAACCTGCCAACACCTACTGACACTCACTCATCTCCCAGAGAGAGAAAGAGGCGCGAGAGAGCGAGCGCGAGAGAGCGAGCGCGAGTGAGAGCGAGCGAGCGAGAAAGAGAGAGAGGGAGAGACAAAATACCTACCAGGAAAGGGGGGGAGGAAGTCCAGTTTTTGCAAACTATTCATTTTTTTTTCTTGATTTTTTTCCCCCTCTGCTTTCTTTGAACGATACTTTTAAAGAGAGAGGATCCTATTAGAGATACCGCGGGGGCCAAGCTAAAAGAGGGGGGGGAGGGGGGGAGGAAAAAATTCAAGAAGCAGAAACCCCTCGCGGAGTTTTGCTGGAAGAAAAAAAAAACGGGTCTGAAAGATTCCTCCTCTTCATCATCATCAACCATCATTCATTCACTACCTTGACATTCCGGGCTTTGATTGACAGCTGGAGTGGCAAAAAGCCATGAAACACGACAGTTCGGTTACATGTGGGCTGCTGACGGGCCGCTCGTAACCTTCAGTTCGGGGGCTTGACAATTTTTTTTTCTTCTTTTTCTTCTTTTTCTTTTCTTTCTTTTTTTTTTTTTTTCAACTGAAGGGAAGAGAAGAGAAAGAGGGGGCAAGGAGGACCGAAAAGGAGGAGGAGGGGAGGGGGGAGGAGGAGGAGGAGGTGGAGGAGGAGGAGGAAGATCAGGAGGAGGAGGAAGAAGAGGAAAAAAGAGAAAAAGAAGAAATATCACAGGAAAAAAAAAAAAAAAAAACTCTTCGTTGTCTTGCCTGGGCTTTTTTTCTCCCCCTAAAAAAATAACATATTGGAGAATTGGGAGAAGTCTTTTTGGTTTTGGAAAAAAAAAAAAAAGGAATCTTCAGCCTAGATCACTTTCTTATCCGGACTGGGATATTAAATATACGACACATCCAGGAGTTTATTGGAGCGCAGACTGATGGCGCAAAGGGTAGGTTTAAATCTCCAACACTTACCTAGATATAAATCCTCTCCTAAGAGGGGCCTGTCCCGATGCCTCCTCTCCCTTCAACGCTGCTGCTGCTCGCTGCTGGATGATGGCGGCCAGTATTTAAAAAAATAGCAGCGAAATTATTCATCGGCTTTTCCCCCCCGTGCCTCTGCGTGTGTGCGAGTGTGTGTGTGCGTGCGTGTGTGCGTGTCTGGGCGCGCGTGTTCCAGCGCTGTGCGAGCGGGCGGGCGGCGAGTGCGTGTGAGCGGTGTGTGTGTGCGTGTGCAATTGTTACACGCTTTCGCCTCGCTCCAGCTTTTACCCCAGCAGCGCGATTCCCCCGGTTCTCCTGCCGCCGCCGCTGCCGCTGCTGCGCCGCTGCCGCCGCTGCTCCCGCGGCTCGGGGCGGGCACGGGGCTGCGTAGGAGCCGCCGCCGCCGCCGGGGCCGCCGCTGGGGCCGCGCTGCCGCAGCCGCTGCGCCGCCGCCTAGACTAGCCTGGGCTGCTTGTTTTGTCTCTGAAATTGACAAGGACGCAGGGAATCCGCTGCTAAATAATGTTTCTGGTAACTTTCACGTTATTCCCCCCCTCCCCTCCGCTCCCTGCCCCCGGGGAGGCTCTGGCCCCAGCCTTCCCTCGTCCTCGCCGTTCTCCTCCTGATTATTAGCGCTTTTCCTCTCTTTATTTTGTTTCATTTCGCCTTTTGATTTATTGGATCCTCGGGAGGAGGCGAAGGGGGGTTAGGGGTGGGATCCGGGGCTTCCTCCTCCGCTCGGTTGGGCTCGCTCCGGTTCTGCTGCCTCCGGCCCGAGCGGGACCTCCCGGCGCCCCCTCCGTGCCTGGCCTCGCTGCTCCCCTCTCCCTCCTCTAAACGCTGCTCTTGGTTCATACTTTTTCATTTTAAAATTTAAGAACATTTCCCGCCCGCCCCCCCTCCGCCCCCCGCAACTTTCAACTCGTTGTTTCGGCTGGTTTGGTTTCTGTGTGTGTTCAACTCGTGCTCGATACTTTTCTCCTTTCTGACTTTGTTTTTATTTCTCCCTCCCTCTGTCTCTCCTGCCTGCCTGCCCCCTCTTTCCCTTCCTCTTTCTCCTTCCCACCCCCCCCCCACCTCCCCATTCCTTTCCCACTTCTCTTCTCCCGGCTTCTCTTTCTGCTCCCGCTCGGCTCTCCCTCACCTCCCGCGCCCCCTCCCCTTGCCGGGTCCGACAGTACGATGAGCTGCCCCATTACGGCGGGATGGACGGAGTAGGGGTGCCTGCTTCCATGTACGGAGACCCTCACGCGCCGCGGCCGATCCCCCGGTTCACCACCTGAACCACGGGCCGCCGCTCCACGCCACGCAGCACTACGGCGCGCACGCCCCGCACCCCAATGTCATGCCGGCCAGCATGGGATCCGCTGTCAACGACGCCTTGAAGCGGGACAAGGACGCGATCTATGGGTAAACCAACCCCCCTCCTCCCGACCCAGCGTACTGCTTGTGAGTGCGAGTGTGTGTTCGTCTCTGTGGGAGTAGAGGGGATGGTCGACCAAGTTGGGAGTTATTTCTGCAGGGGAGGGGGGTGGGAACCGCTTGCCTCCGGAAAGGACAGAGACGGGGGCCTGCTCTTCTTCGCCTAAGTGTAAGTCCCCGAAAGATAAGGCTTCCTCCACCCCCACGACCCTGTCACTCCGGACCCCACCGCCCAGAGTGACTTGAGTACTGAGAATTTTGCCAGGGCCTTCTCCCCGAGGACGGGATTCCTGGCCAAAGGACGCAGCACTGGTCCTTCCCGGCCCCCTAACAGAGGCCTTGACGAAGGAGAAAGTTTCCTACCGATAAGGAGCAACTTTGGGGTTTTGTTTTGTTTTGTTTTTGGCTTGTTTGTTTGTTTGGGTTTTTGGTTTGGTTTGGGGTTTTTTGTTTTTTGTTTTTGTTTTTTCTTTTTTTCCTCCTCTGTTTCCTACCGGGAGTCTGGGAGTCACTAAATGCAGCCTGAGCTGGGATCAGAGCTGCTTCTGTCGGCCTGGAAGTCCTAATCACCCACTTCTTAATTCTCTGTAAATAAAGGGGGTAGACCTTGACGTGCCCCCGGGTGGAAGGGACTTGGTGCTTGCATAGAGCTGCTCTAAGGAGGAGTGAGGGAGATGGCTAGAAATTACGTATTTTATATTCTGAGAGAACTCGGAGAGGCGTGGAGGTGCACGGTCCCAGAGTGGACCACTGGTGCTATAGAGTAGGTGGGGGAAGGCGGCGGTTTGCGAGGGGAGGGGACGCTCGGTAAAGGGCCACTGAGCCTGAAGCCAGAGGCCGCAAGCATCCCGAAGGGGTAGCTAAACCGCCCCGAGGAACACAAAGGGCAGACGCGCACGCACACTTCCAAGTTTTAACACTCGATGTATTTATTTTTGCCTGCTGGAGAAATGTGGTCTTTGGAAGGAAGCTCCTCCGCATTTCACATTCCTATTATTTTGTGCCCCCCCCCCACACACACACAAGGGCTTTACTAGAAAGTAGAGCAAACAAGTTTATAAGGCAAGAGGGTGAAGAGGTTGGAAGAGCACTCTCTCCGATTTAGATGTAGGAAATAACACTTCGGGTGTATATATAGGTGAAGGCTTCGGCCTCCTTCGAAATAACCATTAATTTGCAGAGTTAAAGCAATTCTTAAAAAAAAAATTTTTTTTTTCCACAAAGTGTCCCTTTCTTGAGAGGTCAGGACTGGGGATGAGGGGGTTGGTTCGGCGGTCTCCGTAGTGTGGGGATTGGGTCTGGATCAGCCCGAGCCCCAGACCGCCTAAGCTGTTTGGATGTTTCATTACCTCCAACGGAGGCTTTTCTTACTTGGCGGGCTGAAGTGGCCAGGGGCTGCTCCGTCTCGATCCGAGGGGCTCCTGAGCTCAGGGGGAGGGCCAGGCCGTTTTTCCTTTCTGTTTCTGGCCCAGGCTCGGCTGGCTAAGGAAGGGTTGTAAAGTGTGATGCGTGCCTGTTTTATTAAAGAAGGAATCCGAACCCTCCAAACTTGTTGATTACAGTTCTTGCTCCTTCCCCTCTGCACCCCGTCTCCGTGTGTGTGTCTCTGCGTGGCGCTGCCCGTTAGGCACCCGTTGTTTCCTCTGTTAGCTCTGGTCTTTGAGAAGTGCGAGCTGGCGACCTGCACTCCCCGGGAACCCGGAGTGGCCGGCGGAGACGTCTGCTCCTCCGACTCCTTCAACGAGGACATCGCGGTCTTCGCCAAGCAGGTCCAACCTTCTTGACCCACTCACCCTCCTGCAGACCCTCACTCCCCCTCCCCTTTCCTCGGAGCTGTACATGAAAGAGGAGGAAAAGGCAGGGACACCCGATCTGTTCCTCTGGCCCAGCCTGTGCTCTTCGCCTCCTCCCCATCCCTGAGCCTGGAGGCGAATTGGAAGCGGAGATAAATATGGGTGTTTGTTTTTCCCCCCAGCCAGGAATACAGGGGCTCGACCCTCGAATTAAAGTTGACCTGCTCCTAATCTGGGGCTTGGCCTTTTCCCCCGCCTGCAGCTACTTGAACAAGTATTGGGGATAGGGCCTGGGAGGGTAGGAAGCTGGGCGCCTCATGGGGCGGTGCGCGCCGGGCGCTAAGGTGAGGGAGGCCGAGAGCCACAGCCCCTTAGACGGCTGCAGAAGGGGGTGCTCGGCCCAGAGAACGGCCCGGAGTTCCCAGCTACGGCATAGCAGTTCCAGGCACCCCTGAGTAGGGCGAGGAGCAGAAGGCCCCAGAACTTTTTCAAGCGAACCCACTAATTTAGGGCACTGGTTTGTTTCCTGCATTTTACCAAAGCCCCTCTACTCTTCCCGGCCACTGCCCTTCCGCCGTATACCCGCTCACACGGTGTAGTCCATGACAGCGTTTCTCCTCTTTTAGGTTGGGGTGGTAGTTCACTTTGGCTTTCCCTGCTTCTTACAGGTTCGCGCTGAAAAGCCACTTTTTTCCTCGAATCCAGAGCTGGACAACTTGGTAAGGCTCGCCGTTTCTTGCCTTTCCCCAGCCTGCCCCCCCCCCACGCCCCTGCCTGGAAGCACCCACTTTCCCCCCGGAACTCCGGGCAGTTGGAGCAGAGCCCTCTTTTGCAGCTCGGGAGCGACAGGGTGGAAGGGAACAGCTTAGAGTCCCCCGCCAGGGAGATGGGAGGTGAGAGGTGGGGATGGACCTCCGGAAAAACGGAGGCCGGGGAGCAGCAAGCGGGGACGCAGCGCCCCGATTGCGAGCAGGGGATGAGTCCCAGATCTCGGCTGCGAGAAGTGAGTGATTTCCTCTGTTTGCCAGGGTAGGCAGCCGAGCCCCCGGCAGCTCACCCGAAGGAAGTAACCGCTGGCGCAGCGGCCGAGGGCGGGCGGGGAGATGGGGGAGGGACGCAGGGGGCTTGCGGCGCGGGCCACTTTTAGGTGCGATTCTTTTGCTAATTTGCACAATTTCAATATTAAAAGTCCTTAAATCCGTTTTCAAAGGCCTTGCTTCACCATTCATCTTGAGTATTTCCTTCTTTAGTAAGGACGGATTTCGCAGGGTGTGCTGTTCTAAAAAGCTTTCTCTGAAGAAGCGGATTTTTTTTTTTTTTTTAATTTGGCCTGAGGTCGAGAGAGGGGACGGTTAAAGACTCTGGCGGAGAAAGAAGGCCTGGCCTTGGAAAGCAGTCCTTACAAATAGCTCAGTGAACACAGGGGGCAAAGATACTAGATGCTTCGGCTCAGGTTGAGTCTGATTCCTACCCCGTGGCCAATGAAGCAGAGATGATCAGTAATCATTTGGTTTTTCTGACGATTTTTCAATGTGTGGGTTTTGCCTGGCCACTTGCCTGTTTTCTTCTCCCCAGTTCAATGACCTCAGCACCCCACCCCACCCCCACTCAGGACTTCTGAGTCACAGAGCCTTAACTCCACACTCTAAACTTTTCTTTCAGATGATACAAGCAATACAAGTACTAAGGTTTCATCTTTTGGAGTTAGAAAAGGTAAGCAGGAAATGACACTTCCCATTTTGATTTAGCCACTCTCCTTTCTTAGTTGACTTGGGATGTCTTTGAGCACCTGGAGGTTTTGAGCAACTTTGTTACCACGTCTGTCCTTCGGATTGCTCCTTAAGGAGGGTCTCAGAGGAAGGGTGAATTAGAACAGCCCTGCCTGCTTCCCCCTCCCGCCTTTTTCCCCAGGCATTCAGGATTATTTTGAAATGCAGCAAACCATTTGTGTTACTGGACATTCAGCCTGCTTGCATCTCTATTAGCTTAGCTCACCCTCAGACCAGACCAAGTGTTAGGTGCAAGTAGAGGGAATCATCCTCGCTGGGGTGTCTTTACATTGCTCTGCAGCTCAATCACTTTCCCCTGGAAACATACAAAACTCTTAGCTTATTGAATCGCAAATGCCAATGCTATTCCCAGTTCCAGTGTTTTTAACATTTTGATGTTATCATCAAATGGGATTTTCCCCCTTGGACTCCCAGTCTGAACCCAGTTATTTCCAGTCCAGTTTTTTTCTCTCTTTATTGTAACTTGTTGCTCAGGGAAGTCTCTGGAGAATAATATCTGCTGCAACAATTGCTCTATTGTTTCCTTGCCTTCAAGTATTACACCCATTAATTAGAGTTAGTTTGGAAGACATTGCACTGTTGCCCTTTCCACATGTAACCTTGCAACCTGATTTTTCCCCCTTTAAAAATGTAACAAAACAATAACAAGAACAATACAAGCTAAACCCTCCACCATGAACCCTCCTTTTTAGGTCCACGAACTGTGTGATAACTTCTGCCATCGGTACATTAGCTGTTTGAAGGGGAAAATGCCCATCGACCTTGTCATCGATGAAAGAGACGGCAGCTCCAAGTCAGATCATGAAGAACTTTCAGGCTCCTCTACAAATCTCGCTGACCATGTAAGTCTGAGAGCCCTTTGGCATTCTTTTGAGACTACTGGCTAAAGCATTAAAAAAAAAAAACCAAACAAACAAACAAACAAAAAACTTGTAACAATTAGCTGAGCTCAAACTTAGTTTTCTTTTTAAATGATCTGGTCTCTTGGGGGCGGGGTGTCTTTTCTCCCTTTCACACTACCTCTGCCCTACCTTTCCTCTTCGTTTGCCGTTTCCTGGCCCCCTTTCTTATTTATGTGGCGAACCAAAGAGACCAGGGAGTTGATAGAGTGATTTGTGCTCTTCATGTGTAAAGTTTCCTGCATTTGGTAGCTTGAGTGTTAGCAAATTGTCTGTTTGATATGGTGCCTGCTGCCTTCTCTGCCTTCTCAACTCTGTGTAATCAGTGCAGCAGGGACAGAGAGGCAAGTCAGCTAGCTGGGGGGGGGGGGGGGGGAGGTGCGGAACTGAACGGTGAGAGGAACTGGGGAGGGGGGCTGCTGACTTCCAGGGTCTCATAGAGTGACAATCCTGAGAATTATTGGCAACCTTGCATTGCATTCGAAATAAAAGGAGTGAACACATTATGATTCTCTGAGCTTTTGCTCTGTAGAAACTTATTGTCAGTATTGCCAAGCGCCCGAAGCATCTTCATAATAAAAGACAGTAACTTTGATGAAACAATTATTCACAATGTAATACACAAAGCTGAAGGGAACTGCGATTGAGTAACCATAGGTTAGTGGTTGAATTTTAACACTTAAACAGTTGGTGAATGAAGACAGAGTAGTAAGGAATGACTGTGTATGTCAGGCCAGGATGGGAGATTTCTTTCTATTCTCTGTGTTTAATCCTATTTTGGAACTGATCTAGGGACTCTGATGCAAAAAAAAAAAAAAAAGAAAGAAAAAAAAAGAAAGAAAAAAAAGAAAGGAAAAAGAAGAAAAAGCATATGTAGTGAGACTGAAAATTTGAAAAAGAAGCAAAGAGAAGAAAGATTGCAGCTGGTAGGAAAGGCAAGAGTGGCAAGGTTAAAGAGTGGGTGTGAACAGCAGTTTATTTATAGGAACTCAAGCTGGGGGTGGGGGACAGGGTGTCTATAGATTATATTCAATTGAGCTTACAACCTAAGCAATATAGGCTATAGTCTAATAATTTGCTGGCTGAAATATTAATTTAACACTTTGTGGAGTTAAACAGGCTTCGAAGCTTGAAGGCATCCCCCCCCCATTCCTGGGTGTTAACAGGAATGGATTGAGATGCCTTGAGAATAAACCTTCTATGAGGTTCTTTATCTCCCCCCACCTCCAAAAAAAAAGTTTTGAAATACACAGTCATATATTTTAATTATTAGCCTTTGTACTATATAGAAAGCCAGCCTAAGAACAAAAGTTAAAAAAAAATAACACAAAAAACCTCAATCCTGGTTGTCTAGTTCTGAGACAGAATAAATACTATGGCGTTGAAAGCTCCTGTGCCCACCTTTATTCTTCTTGGCTTTTTCCATCATGATGGGAGGAACTTCGAGAGGCTCTTCTGTATTTCAGTGTATTAATAACTAAAATCAAAAGGGTGCAGCAAGCAGCTATGAAAAGTTTACTTGCTGCTGTGTGGCTATATGATGAGGATTGTTGTCTACAAGGCATGACACCACCTTAGAAATATGTGTTGTTGTTGTAATTTATTTGTTTATTTTCATCACTTCCTGTTTCTCAATTCAAATACATTCTGCAATGTTGGAGGAATGGGAAGGCGTCTAGTTACACGGTTTATAGAATGAGAGGTTCACAGTTATCTGCAGCCAGAAACGTTTCTTGTGACATTTCTAGGGGTCTTGACTACTTGGTTTTCTAGAATAGTTTCTTGGCAATTGTTTTTCAAGTGGATATGTGTAACTAGAACATGCAGATGTTTGCATAGAAGAGATGAGATAAACTAGGCTGTTTAGGGTATTGGCTGATAGTGCCAATTTATGAAACTATCGTAATATTTAAATTACACTCAGAAAGGAAGTGGCACCTAAGAGGATAGCGCTTTAATAATTTAACAATCATCATCTTTGGATAAAAGAGTCAACTGTAGCATTTGTTGCTCCTCTTTCAGGCCCCCAATCAAGTAAAGATGACAACTGATTTATTTTGAACCCATGAGGGCTTGCCACCTCATTGGGCATCATAATTTAAAGCCTTTTATTTCCTGGAGATCTGAACTATAACATTTTTACTTTAGCCCCCCGCTATTTGTTTTGAAAGGAAGCAAGAATTTGTTCCGCCAGGCACACCGAGGGGGAAATGACGAGATTTGCTGCAGACTTGAATTTGATGCAGGAGGGGAAAGAAGACCTTGTGGGGCTTTCACCATTTTTTATCTTTTTGTACCAGAGGTGCATGGGTTATATGTTCATTTTCAAGGCATCTCCCTCAAAGTGAATTTGCTTATGTTTCTGCCTCTCCTGCAAATGTACCCTCCCTTCACCACCACCACCACCCACCAGAAAGGGGAAAATACTGCAGCACTACTACCTGAAAGGTGGTATGAGTGGACACTTTCAGCATGTAAATGTGTCCAATTTGAATCTCCAGGTTTATTTTTTCATTTGCTTTGATATGCATATTTAATACATTGCCCCAGGCTAGATCTCATTTGGTGCACGCTGGGGCAGGGGTGATGATGAGCCACTTCAGAAGGACAGAGACAGCGTGTTGTTTTCTCTGTGTTATCTGTTGGCCCACCATTCTGATCTGGTGCGCTTCCTCGTGGTTTTATTTGCACATGAAATGCCGAGAGCATTTCAACTTATTGGCTATGAATAATGACAGCTAAAAAAGAAGTGTAGTTTAATTTGTTGTGTGCCAAGGTTTCTCTTGTGGAGGTGACAGTTTGTGACAGCTGTTTGACACCCCCAAAACACATACACCTCTATACTTATTAAGTGGTATCAAGCTTCATTGTGTGTGTGTGTGTGTGTGTGTGTGTGTGTGTGTGTGTGTGTTCAAGGAAGGAATGGGCAAGGAAAGAGAGAGAGTGAAATAAAAGAATAAATGTGCAATTTTGAGTAGTGGAAAGCAGAGAGAAAAGCGTCAGGAACAAGATATTAGGTGCCGAAATAGACTTCTATTTTCATATTGAAAAATTTGCAAAGAAAACCAAATGAAAGTAATTGCTACAAATATCTTGAAAGCAAGTATTTTTGGCAGGCTTTTAAGAATGAGTTTTATATACTATTATATGGTAAATCAGGCTGTTGTCATGCTGATTTCACATTCTGTAATTTTATGTAAATAATCTGATGTAACACTGATAAAAATACAACCAGAGTGTCCTAACCTTTCATATGTTACATTCATTAGATACACTGAACTTGTTCATTTATTATCGGCATTTACATGATGGGCATGATGATAAAAAAAAAAGTTTGGAATTAAATAGAAAATGAAATTTGCCACGTTGGCTCCTAGTTTGTTTTTAGTAAATCCATGATGAATACTTATGTTTTTATATTATAATATAGTTTATTTTATATTCTTATTCAACATGAGAGTAATTGTTATTGGTGGAAAACAACTATTACAGTATTCTTTGGAATATTGGGAAGAAGAAAATAAGACGGTTAAAGGAAATAGAACTCTGTTTTCCAGCTGCAAGTCATGTTAGGTTTCCCAGACATCCAAATTTATTATGTTTAAAATAAACATGTCAAGAAACCAATTCTTTAAAAAAAAAAAAACTTTCCAACTTGAAAACTATTGTGGAATATTCATATTTCTCCTAGTCTGTAGTATTTCTAAATAATAGGTGATATCCACATTTTCTACTTTACATAGATCTAGCCTTTAAATCTAGTGCAGCCAAATAAAATATATCTTTACATTTACATTCAAAGATCTCACATATCTCTAGAACAGTGTTAGATAAATGAAATATATCTGTTTGAAATACATTTTCTGAGCCAAGCTCTATTTGCCTGAAGTGCATACAGCTCTATTATTATTTGTAATTAATGTTCATAAGGACCTCGTCTTATTTATTTATTTCTTTTCGGATGAATTAAAGATATGAAAGAAAATACAACTTTATCTGTTAATAGTTCATGACAGGTGCCTTAAAATTGTCTAACTCTGATAATACGATTAATAAAAAAATGTTAATTTCTATGTTGAAAGCTCTATAAATGAAGATGTGCTGGTTTTTTTTTTTTTTTGCGTCTCTGAATATGTCAAGTTTATTGATCTATATACAGCTTTTAAAAATGGGTTAAGTTGAGGGGAGATTCCCCAGAACCTTGTCGCTGATGGAATACAGGCCAACGTCTAGCAGGGATTATTAGGCAGCAAGGTGAGGGGTAGTAGCCTTAGGTGATTATAAAATATCAAGGTGAAAATAATGGGATTTGATAATAATATTAATAATGCAGATGATTTATTTTATCAGATAGTCTCTTAAATTCTAGTATGAGATTAGACCTTGTGGTGTGTTATCCAAGGTCTCCAGGGACCCATTCCAGGAAAGTTCTGTTTCTGAGTTCTGTCCACCAGCGCAACATGGCAGGGTCATGAGTTCTCTGTTGTTATTGTTATGTAGCTTCTAAAGGTTGGTTGTTGTGTAGCTTCTGAAGGTTGGTTGTTGTGTAGTTTCTGAAGGTTGATAGCTCTTCTGTCAATTTTCCATTCAAAAGAATTATATTATTTAAATTACTTCAGTTGTTCAGTTGAAGTATGTTTGCAGGGTAACTGTGATGAGATGAGATTAAACAAACACTTGACAACCACTGACATTCACTATCAGATGAAAATTTGGTATTTTAAAAATTGATTTCCTATTTTTTTCAGACTGAACATTTTACGGAATTTCCCAACGCAATTCAGAATTATTGGAAACATTTTATAATGCGATGGTATACCAACAAAACAAGAAATTTCTCTTTTTTCTAAAAGTTGCTCCATTAAATAGAGGGATTCATTTTTTTTTAATTTTGGTATTTGTTTTTGGAATTTGCAAAGAGTACTTGCCACTTCTTTGAGAGT